AACATACTTAATTTCATTTTGTACAAGAAATGGATTATGATGTGAAAACTTTTCTTAAATTTATGGCTTGATGCAAATTTTTAAAAGAGAGTTATAAACCCATTAGGTGAGAGCTTTTAATGGTCAATGGAGAACCTAAAAGCAGTGCTACCAAACAAACAGAAATGTTTTGTTTATAACTACACAACAAAAATATATGTTGCAATTCTTCCAAGCTCAGCTGATAAGTCTGACTTGTATTCCTGCCCCAAAAACCTAACATAACAATAACTTGGTCCTTATCACTTTTCAGTTATGGCTATTTATCTTTACTAATATTCCCTTTTCTGTTTTTCATCTGTTCAAAATGCACCATTTTTACTCTTTAAATAAAAACAGCAAAGCTTCTGCACAACTATAGTTGTGGCACTGCCTCCACTGTTAGTGCTCTAGAAAATGAACTGACACCAGGGTCAATCTCTTGCTACACAGCAGTTTTAGTATTTTTCATAGTAGACATTCTCAAGGCTGGTGTTACCCAGGTGCTCTACCTCATAGTTACTCCCGATTTTGTCTTTGTTCTATTTATGCTCACAAGTGATATTTAAATACTAATTGCAATTATTAAAAAAAGAAAAAGAAAAAAGGCTTTTATTTTCTCTTTGCCAATTACTGGTTTAGTCTCATCTCAATCTTTCCTCTTTGAATGCAAATTATTAAGATTAGATGCCCATCTGGCCATTTAGCCTGTCAACCGCAAAGACTCCTTCCTCTAATTGTTTAAATAAAGAGGGTGAAGTTGCTTTGAAGAAAATACTATTTGAAATGAGGGCTGAAATGCAAAGAGAATCAGCAGTTACATTTAAAAGAAAGCATTAAATAACCACTAGCAATGTAACGTTACTTTATAGTTGAGAAGTCTTTACATCTTTATCATTAATATAACCTGTTATTTTTTTTAACTACCTGTGTATATTCTTTCACAGTGAAAATGATGAAGCCAAAGTGCCCATACCCCAAAAGATTGCAATTGTCTACTTTTCTATCAGTTAGTAACCTATACGCTTCCAGGCAATAATACAACAGAAAAAAAAAAGGTTAAACTCTTTCCTTTTTCTCTGCAAAAGCAAACTGGAGACAGACAAAGATATGGGGAACATTTTCCTTTGTAATCAAAACTGTACTTTTAAACAGTGCTCTATAGCATAAGTACCAAACGCTCCCCATACACCAAACACATACATTCAAGAATTGGCTCAATGGCATGAGTTCTGAGTTTTCTAGAGGATGGGCTGCTCCACGCCACTAAGTTATGGAACTGTATTTACAAAATGCAATGGGTTATAAATACCAATGCAGTGAAGTGTGATCCTTCTGGGAGAAAAGGACTGTCAATAATCCCTTTGTACAAACAATGCTTCTAGAAAAGTGTTCCGCATTGAAGCTTCAGTGTTTCAGCAAACCATCATCTCTGTCTCTGATACAGCTCCTTGGAAAATGATCTGTCTGAAATGTAAGTTTCAAAATCTATACTGTGACTGAATTTAGGGACACCCTATCTAGAAAGCAGCTGAGAGGGTCTCTCCAGTAACCATGACACTAAAAATCAGCCTGAGGAAGCCCTCTCTTTACCTGAAGATACACTTAATCAATTCAGTGATCATTAACTCACAAAAATAGGACCAGAACTAGTTTATTATTCCTGGGAAAGCGTGCACCCCTCCAACTTCAGAACTACTTTAAGGATATAGTCTTTCTAAATTGCAGCCTATCACAATGACCCTGTGTCCTGGAGGGAAGACATGTAACATTAAATATGGCTACAACGCCATTAAAAGTGCACTGTAACCTACATCATCAGCTCACAGCCCTCTCTGTCTGAGCGGGCAACAACTTGGTAATACGCACATCTCATTTTCTGAATGTTTAGTATTTTAGGGGTAAGAGTACAGATCGGAGAAGAGAAGAACTACCCTCATTTTAATGAGAAAGTGCAGTAGACAGCCAGGAGCAATGATGACTATCCCCTCCCCCAGAATTGATTGCACAAACTCAGAGAGGTCCAAAGTCATATTAGAATCTCTGAGGCACTCCTGGTTCTGAGAAAGAAAAAGTCACGATCCAGTAGTCTTTGCAGTAATGTAGACTGAGAAAACTAACCCGTTTCTATTTCATGACAAAAGCCAAAGCATCATCTCATAGGGATCACATTCACCATTTCCGCTGACATCTCCAGTCTCACAGTGTTGAAATGGGACTGATCGGCCTACGATGGATTGCACATCACCCAAGGAGAAAGGAAGGCATAGGAAAAGGCATACAGTACATTTTATACTGCTTCACAACCATGTTTACAAGGGGCGGGGACTGGGGGGAAGAGGAGAGATTTATTGCTTTTTCAGTACAAAATACAGTATAATATTTAAACCAATTCAAACAAGATCACAACAGTCAGTATTTTCACACCGTGGGATGAAGGTTCTTGTTTTGCTCAAGGATGAACTTTATGTGGGTTAAAGGGAAAGATGGAGGATTTGGAGGGGAATCAAAGCTACACCTGGGATATCAGCTGCATATTGAAACTTGGAGATCGAGACTGCTTGGTCAGGGGAGCTCCTGGGGTAAGGAGATCTTTCCCATCCCCAGCTTGGCCTAGCCGATCTTCCTGTAGGCTGATAGTTGAAAATCGATTGGCATTGCCAACTGCTAGATTAGTAATATCCTCAGTACCAACCCCAACACCGGAACCTGCTTGACTGCCATTCACATAGTCAAATGATTTACTGGAGGAAGCACTGGCGGTCCGGATCAAGCTCAAACTACTGGCTTTTGGCACCACCTGCCCAGCTGGCAGGCTCAGGTGTTTCTTAGTAGGTGTCATCTCAATTCCATCTGCACTTAGATCAGTTGCCTGGTGCAGGTACTGCTTCCGAATCACTGAATCTCGAGGGCTCTCACTGGATTTAGTGGCAGAAGATGTTTCTTTGTCTTTAGCAGAACGCCCACTTGCTGATTTTCTTAAGCTGCTCCTCTGGGATGTAGACAATAAAGGTTTGGTCCCAACTGGCTGGCTGCTAAGGGAAGCACCTGATGAAAATCCTTCATCAGCATCATTGAGGTTCATGGATTCCTCCCTTCCATTTACACTCTCCACATCTATAAAACCCAAAAACAAACAAATCAGACCCAGAAACTGAGCAGTCAAGTCACATGAAGCAGCAAAATGTGCACACACAACATCAAGGTGAATTGTGTTTGCTGATCCAAAGGTTTTTCCACTTGTTACTAAGGATGATTTTTTGCTACCAATAACCTTCCTGTTTTACACACTAAATGGTAAATTTGCAAGTACTGAAATTAATTGCTGCCTCTACTGATTTGCCTCTCATTTGCACTGTTTTTTTGTCCTTGAAGAGTTACTCCTAACTTACACCTGCACATAGGAAAAAATTGGGTTCAGTCATTCTTGGTTCTCATCACAAGCCCCAGTCTTCTCTCACACTTGTATAAATATTACTTCTGCTTACTAATCTAAGCAGAGAATTACATCCTCCATTAGTCAGACTAATCAACTTTTTATCTAGCTAAACAATTTGTTACAATATTTTATCATCATCCTCTTTAAAACTAATCAACTCTGCCATTCTAGGGAGAGATAATCATCAGCATCTGAATAAAACTTGGTTTTATTAACAAATGCACTTGCCAATTGTTTAAGAGGCCTCTACAACCCCTTCACTCAGCCTTTCAGCTTAAGTTTCTACTTTTTAATCTGGATTTACAGCAGAATTTCAAGAGGTTCTGAATACATGCAGTTCCTCTTGGAAACTTTGCTTTTGTAAGAGCTCAGGAACCTTCAGGATCAGATTAGACCCCTTGTCATAGCTCATCTTTTAACAGTGCTATAAATGTGGTAGATTTCTACTGGTGATGCTAGCTGAGACCTTGAACTTAGCAACTAAACTTTTCACTGGAGATAAATCTGACTCCTAATTATCCCTCCCCCAAATTCCCACCTTCCCTTCTACTCTCAGCAGTTGAATTACATGCAGCTGGATTCCATTTTATTTAAACTAAGATATCTATGTATCTTTAGATTATATATTTATATATAAGATTAAACTGAAAAAAGATTTCAGGCTTCCAAACAGGACCTGGCTGTTGAACAGAAACCTATAATTTTAGTTCACAAATGGGAAACCAATTTGTAGGTGACTTTGTCTTTAATCTCATGGGAAGCACCCTGGTATATATTTTTGAAAGGTGGAAATTTAAAACCTAATTGAGAATGTACTTGGTGAGTCACCTTTAGAAAGGGCTGCTTTAATAGACTGCAACAGTAGATGAGCTCTGTTAGTCTGATGGCTACAAACACTTTTGGAAGCCCCTTTTAGTCCCTGGTTCACATTTTGTTTTGTTTTCTCTGTTGCTAAGCATATAGATGTATTTACTTTAGTCCTTGTTTTCAGTCCTATAAAGTGTCTAGGGATGTTAAAAAAACAAAACAAATCTCATTGTTCCAACTGCAATTTTGAGACCCAGGAAAATTCACAAATTGTTTTCCCATCACAAATATGAAAACATAAAATTAATTATTTAACTTAAAGGTCTGATCTGAACATTCTAAATTTCAAGAACTGGAACTTTTGCTTATGTTCCTTTTCATTCAAAAATACTACTTTCACGAGTAGGGAAAAGTCAAAAGTTTTACCCTAGTTCCAGAAGTGAGTTCTTCAAGTTGTAAGAATTTCAAATTTCCTTTTAATAACCTAAATAATGATTGTTTCTTACAAAAAGTGCCCATATTTGACAGCTTCAATTGCTGTTATTCAAATAAAAGTTTGCTAAATTTAGTTTGCCACCAGTCAAACAGGTAGTATGAAGCGCCTTCCCTGAATGAAGGAGGAAAGCACACCTTTAATGATATTAAAATATACAAGAGACATATGTCTGTTCTTCCATGTAAACTGTTGTCAGTGCACCGACAACAGATGGGTTAAAAGTAGTATGTGAACGTATAAGCTTGTCTTCTGGTAGCCACTGCTTAGCTCTTGATGTTGCTTAAATATGAAAAAAATCTGGCTCGATTCTGCTCACATTTCAGAAGCAGAAATTTCAAAGCTGGGTTATTTTCCTGTCTTTTTCCCTTTAGGAAAAAATAAATAAAATAAAACCTTTTCTTTGAACTTAACACCGCTATTATTCAGCCTACAAGATATTAGCAGTCCCTACCAGTTTGGGCATTCTCTAACCCAGGGGTGTCAAACTTATCTAACCCAATGAGCCAGATGAGGGTACCTAGGTCTGTCTGCAGGCTAGATTGGGACCACACGCTGAAGCAAGCATGCAAGGCTGGTCCAGCAGGGTGCTGCAAAAAGTGTGCGCGCCCTTTGCCGGTCCCTCGTGTTGCATGCAGTGCACGCAGACAATCTAGCTCTGCACACTGCATGCAGCATTTGCCAGCCCTAGTACCACAGGCACTGCATACAGCACAGAGTCCAGGGCTCGTGTTGCCTGAGGTGCCCTACTCGACTGACCCAGCACACTTGCTTCAGGGCCTAAGCAGGATTGGGTCCAAGGCTATCAGTACTCACCAGAGCATATGCGCAGAGCCAGTCTGGCAGGACACTGCATGCAGCACACACCCTGTGCTGACCCCATGCACTGTAAGTATAGTAATTCCTAGAGCAGGACCAAAGCATGCTACATGCAGCATAGGGTTGGCACAGGGCATACACTGCATGCCACATCCTACTGGACAGGTCTTGCAGATTGGCTCAAGTGCAGCCCAATCCTGACCAGCCCAGGAGCCAATGCTCAGGTTCAGGCCAATGCAAACATGGGTGCTGCATGCAGCATGTGCCCCAGACCAGTTCCCTGTGCTGTGTATACTGCCAGGTCCAGCCTATAGGCCAAACCAGCACTGCAAGCCACAAGTGTCGTACAGGGTCAGTTGGAGACTCATGGATTGGATCATATATTTAATACCCCCAGTCTAACCTAAGACTATTCTGAGAGCAGTGTAATGCTGGTCTGCTTCATTGTGTAATGTCTCAAATATTTAATTAAGATCTCCAAAACAGAAGGAGTTCCTCAATGTTGCAGTTTTAACCCTGTATGGTAGGGGAGAGGGTAGAAATCAACCTTAGGATAAAACAGACATTTTAAAAACATTAAGAAATATTTTCTATTCATCAGAATAAAGACCAGCATACTTATTGCAACTTCTGGAATAATTATTTAAAATCCTTTTTTTGTTTTATCTCACTATCTAAAAGGACTCGCTTCAAAATTTGTCTTTTCTTGTGTTCATACAAATATTTCTCTACGTTCAACAATGAGACATCATATGAACAACCCACCACCACCACCAACATACAATTCTCAAAGGTGCTAGTAACAGATGATAGCATTATAACATCCTAAAAGCAGAAGCACCTTTTTCACCAGAACCAGCATTTACATTCTTTTATACTCTGCATGCAAAGCTGGATGAAAGTGCATTTGCTAGGAGCAGCACCAACTTACACCTCCCCTCTCAACTCTTCCTTATTCAAATATATAATATGCAACTTGCAAGGAGACATCCAAGCAATAGAGTGGAACGCTTCAGTGCTTCCTCGGTTTTTAAATTGACGTTCAAAGAGAGCCTAAGTAAAAGATCAGAGCTGCTAGAGGCTCATCCTACTCAAGATAAATGACAGGAATCTGTGAGAGCAAAGCAGAAAGACCAGACGCACAGAATTTATCCGTTCAATTCAGAGAGGAGACCGAGAGGCTTGGTGCAAGCTTTTGGATGCTGCAACTATGCACAGGCATGGGCAGCTCAGCGGTGCTCAAGAACAAAGAAAACAGAGAAGACATCATGCAAGAGAATCTCTCACTAGTAAGATCCCTGGTATTCTGGAAAGTTCTCACTGTAGTTAAGTCATTCAAACACACATAGTTATCATAATGCTCAATATTTTTCTTTTAAACACTGCTCTCAGAAACAAGGAAAGGGGGAGTGCAGTTTCACTGTCTACCTCCCTAATCTGGAACACAGGACTCAGGAAAACTGGTGGTTTTCAACAAACCAGTAATAGAATCAAGAAGCATTCCTTTTTCTTAGCAGTCTTACTGATCAAATCCTTGTAAGTGTTGCGATACATAAACTAAAGAAAATGAATAGTCAGTCGCATAGTTCTTCCCTTCAGGATTTGCAATATTCTTCTGTAGGAATTGGTGATTCTAAGTAACATGATTTTCAATGTTGTACAAATCAATACAATGTATATCCTGCAGCAGTATTTTAAGAACATTAGTACCACCATCCTGGGATAGAAGAGTGGCCCGTGTAGTCCAGTATCCTGTCTCTGAAAAGCTGTCACTGACAAGCAGGCCTGTCTCTAATCATGTCAAGCATTAGAGGGAGAGTATATGAACAGAGCATGTCTAAAGTAATCTATCCCCTGTCATACCTTCCTTGGCATCAACCATCAATGGTTTAGCAATGTCAGAGGATACATCCCTGACTATTCTATTTAATAGTTTCCAGTAAGCTTGTCCTCCATGCATTTTTCTAATCTTTTTTGAACCTGGTTATACTTATGTGCCTCTACAACCTCCTGTGACCACAAGTTCCACAAGTTAACTATATGCTATGTAAAAAAATATACGTCCTCTGGACCATCTTAAAACTGTCTCCTGATAATTTTAGTGGATGCCTTGTTTCCATACCCTTCTAGACTTCTATCACAGGTTATTTCCTTTCTGAATTGGCTTTTCCTTCAGCATTATCTACAACCTAGTACGTACACACACCTATAGCTGCTGTCACTACCAACTGACAAGAGAACACACCCCTCTGAGAGAACACTAAGCTTCTTCCTGGAAACAGGCAGAATAATTTACAAATTGGATCAAAAAGGGATTCTTAACCTTTTTCAAAAGACATTTAATTCAGTTTACCCTTACCAAAATTAGATACATCACATTTGAAAGGAAATACTAAGATTCACTAAAAAAGATCTTTTCCACCATGCTATTGTTAGATAAGGCAATGCCACTTCAAATGAAAGCATTTGCTAATCCAAACTTCTTGCAAGATCAGCATCAGTAAACTAGCAAGGTAATAAACACACCATAAACATGACAAATTTAATTTTTCAATTTCAAACCTAAATTAGCTCCCTGGCCCCCTTCCATCCCAAAACATTACTGAGTGGCAATTTGTTCAAAACAAATCATTGTCAGCTTTCTATATTTAGAAAACAATTCAAACATTGTTCACTTCCTTATCCAGGTAAATATGTGGGATGACCAAGGAACAGGTCACATAATACCAATATTTTAAAATACCTCAAGTGTAAGAAAGGAATATCACATCTTTTCACAACCACTGTTTTCAAAAAAGTTCTCTGCAAAGCTGAGGACTTCTCCATATCCTTCAGTTCATGCACATGCAATGTTCAATACCAGGGAGTAAAACCAATCTGAACAAACAGAGTAAGGATAGGATAGGGCTCTTATTTACTGAGCATGCTCAAATTCATTATGCACCAAGGAGGAGATGCTAGAACTACAACTGAAGAGCTTCACGGTTTTTTATGCATCTTAGCTTCCATAGCTCTTGCTTATTATACACATAGATTAAAAGGTGATATGCTTTTACCATGAAATACATCAAATCAAGAATCTCAGATTTTAATTTGCACAAGGACATCTCTGAAATTTGTGCAGTCTGAAAATATTCTCCATCTTGGACGAATTGTGACTTTTATAAGATGTTGAAAATGGCAAAGGAATGTTCGCATAACAAAGGAAATCTACATTACAAAAACAAATTAAGAAGATCAGGAGATCTTGAGAGTATCTTTTCAGCTAAATGCACAAGAAACTAAGCATACCTTCATCATCATCATCAAGAGAAACTGTGAATCAAATTCACTGGACCAAAGCATACTTTTTTTTAATAAAGATGACAAGTACATAGATTCACTAAAATAAAATTAATCTCTATCAGTCAACCCAGAAAATACTACTAACACGTGGCTGCAAAGGCAACTGTTCCAAAGCCCTACAGCATACACCAAGGCAGCCTGAGAAGGAAAACTCATTGTTTTAAAGTGGCTTGAAATGAAACATTATTCCATTATGAAAACTTCTGCGATTGCTCTGTCAGTCTATTCATGCAGGCTAGCAACAAGATTGAGAGACCTCAGTTAAAAGCATCTTGAGGAATAAATAAAAAAATCTGCCAGTGCAGAAGATTGGGAATCAGTCTTAGATAAAACCACCTTATAATTATGGCAGGATATTAGAAATTTTGAATATTTGAGAAATATTCTCTCATCAATCTAAAGCTGTTACCAAATTCTTTTGTGCCCTAAACTGATTCTAGTTTCTTGACTAGCTTTTGCTCATTTGGTGCATTTTTTCCTCCTAATTATTAGAGTAAACATGCTCAGTAACAGGAATATCCAAGCAATCTCAAAGCTCTTAGCTACAGCCCTTGCCTTTTCTTTAGCCATGCCAAGCTGTCTTTCACTGCACAGAGATGCAAGCCCCAGGCCAGCCCACATGATAACAAAAGGTAGTACCTGACCTGGTGTTAGGTATATAGGGGATGCGTGTATTGCAAATAGAAGCTAATACACCCTGGGATAGTGGAAACACACACTAGTATGGAAAGAAGTTCTGCTTGGGGATAGGGAGCCAGGATCCTCCTCCAGCAACTGCCTCACTGACTTCTGCCTCCTCATCTCTGTCCTACCCTCTGTTGTGGCTGCTGCCAAGGTGGACTCCGGTAAGCCATGCTCAGGGGTCCTGCGCACCAGCACCTCCCCCTCTTGCTCACGTTTGATCCCTAGGTCTGTGGAGCCGTGTTGGATCGGGGAGCCAGGAATGCTCGAGTCAGCCTCGTTTGAGAAGTCAAAGCCATCTGGGATTCAACATATAACATTTTAGTGCTTTTCTATTCCTTTCTAAGCAACCAACCCAGGCAGGAAAAGAGAGAAGGTTTACGCGGACATGGAACAAACATACGCTATCCACACTCAGTTACAGTTGTGTGTACACCCATAGGAAGGGACAGATGAGCTATACTGTACTGACAGACTGACAGATGCATAGAATGACACTGCAATAAGAACAGACATGACTAACGATCTGCAAAATGGTAACACCTGCTCTTTGGCCTGGACAGCCTGACTTGACTAGAAGACAGGAGATTATGAATCATCTCACTATTTGATCTGTAATGGATTACAGAGGAAAGCCTAATCTTTGTTTTCAAACTCTTGTTCCTCTTTTGCAGTTTCTTTTTAAGTAATTTCTACCATTTATGGTAGAGCCATTTATGCAGCCTTTTTAGTTAAAATGTTTTACACATGAAAGTACACAAAGCTTTGTAACCCTGACAGGCTTCAAAAACAAAATTCTGCCATCATACTGAAGATGCTTACTCATCTATTAAAGTTAAAATTACCACCATATCTATTTTTCCTCCTTGCATAGTTAAGTACTATTCTTAGGTACCTAGTTATCCCCCAAAATAAATAAATAAAATTCCTTAAATAGCTCTCCATAATTTATGGCGTGTTCCTTCACGCACTAATAGGAAATGATCTTACTTAAAATCACTCAACTACATCTCCGACGGACTCCAGTGGAAACAGGGGATGCTCAGTACCTTTGAAGGAGTCAGGCCAGTATTACTACTTGCTCTAATTACTGATACGAGGCAATATAGTTAGTAAGCTGAGTGTGGGAGAGGTAGCAAAAACCTCCTGAATACTAATTCCACAGCTATGCTATGCAACACAGAAAAGTTACTAAACCTCTCCCAGTTTCTTGTTTTACTTACCTACCTCCCAGAGTCCTATCTATATATATTTAAAGTTCACATCCATGCAGTGTTCTGAAGATGTAAAGCACTACACTATTTTTTTAAAATAATTAAATAAAACTGTTTTGCCAACATTCAAACTAGAAGCCAGTTCATAAACAATGGGGATGAAAACAGTATGCTGCACAATTCACTGTGCAGAGAGATGACTCACCTTCTCTCCTCCAGCGATGGCGGCGGATTGAAGCTGTTGTAATGGCAGTCCGAGAGATTCTCGGTACTGTGGGAGTGACTTCCACTTTCAACACCTTCTGGCCTTCCTGCGATGCATCCGGGGCATCAAAGGGCAATGAGTTCTTCATGGCATTTGCAACCTAAAACAACAGTAAAAGGCTGTACAAATTTATCATCCTTTATTGTACTAAAGAGGGATGCCAGTTTTTGTGCCGAATTAAAAGATTGGGTAGGGGAGACCGTAAAGACTGTTGCATGGCAGTGTGATGTATTCTTGCCAAATGTGGCAAGGACTTCAAGGCTCATCCTTTGAAAACAAAATGTTGGGCTCAATGGAAATCTGGTGTTTTAAGGAAGGCTTGAGGCTTCCCATTCTTCTTTTATATCACCATCAAAGAAATGCGTCACAATCCATGTTGATGGAAACAGTGAAAGTACTATGCCCGGCAACAAATAAAAATATGCTAGTTTCACAAAGGTGCTGCGATTGATTTTCAGCCTTCTGCTACCCCTTTCTTTTGAGAAAAAAATTCCTATGAGGTTTTAGCATAAGTCTGACTAACAAGGTGCTTCAAATCATTAAGATAAAATTTCCTTTATAATTTAAAGCATTTTCACTTAGTGTAAAATCTTTAATTTTCTAGTTTTGAGAATTAAAATACTTTATAAACAGAAAAAAAATTAAAAAATAGGCATTAGATACTTCCAGATGAAAATTCCAATTAAAAAAACAGAAAGATGGCTATTCTAACAGTCACCTGCTAATTCAGTTTAGGATATGAAACAATTCCATCACCACCCCGCAACACACACAAACTCAATCAGTATGCTTTGTGGCACATGCAACGCCACCAGTAATAGAAAAGTCAAAATTGCAATCTGGTTTGCAACTTTCACAGTAAGTGATGAAAACTGAACCTGCCTTCATCTTCTTAAGCAGGGATGCTCAACCCACTTGGCCCATGGAGCCATGTTAGCCAGCCTGCAGGGCTCCCCCATGGCTCCAAACATTTGGCAATGAGTGACTGGTGGCAACATTAACTGCCACTTCTCTACTGCCAAATTCTCAGACCTATGGGGAGCCCTGTGGGCAGACAGCATGACCCTGCAGACTAGACTGAGTGTGAGGCCAGGGTGGTAACCCAATGTGGGATCCACCCATGGACCAGACCCACCCATTATCCAGCCCACAGGGCCAAATGTTGAGCACCCCTGTAATGGACCTTTGCAGCATTAACAGTAATATAAAACACTACAAAATATTTTGAACTTGTACAATAAACTCCAAGGAGTGTATTGTACAAACACATTCTCTGACAATGGTACCGGCAAGCACCAGAGGGCAGCTAGAAGGGATACAGGGGGGAATGGACAGCATGTCACAGCTGCCTGCTGCCTACTGGGGCTATATCAGACCTTTGCGGACTGGATGTGGCCTGCAGGCTATAAGCTGCCAACCTCTGTTCCAATTCAATCCCCTAGTCAAGGCAGGATCATTCCTCCCCCACCCCCCACACCCTTCCTCTCCATCTATCTACACCATCCTAGACAAGCATTTGTCCAACCTGCTCCAAAAAAACCTGCCAAGGATGATGCAGATTCTATAACCTCTCTAGGTAGCCTGTTTCAATACTTGTATTACTACAGTATCATACAAATGTTACAATTACAGCATAAGAGCTGAAACATGTTCTCAAGCAGCAGCTCCCCTTCCTTGTTAAAACAACTGAAGTACATTTACATTTATCCACACCCAGAAACCCATCCTTCATAGCAACAGATGCTATGGTGGGTGGGACAAGCTTTCCCTGCCAATAAAATCCATAACATTAAGTCAATGATTTAACAAAAACTGCAGATGCAGAAACACAAGTATGTTAAAGACTAAAGTCTGCTTTAAGTAGGATGTGCTAGACAGATACAGACATGGTCTGTATTCACACAGACTATTTGGCTACTCAGGCCAAAGACAAGTAAACCTTAGTAAAATAAGTTAAAATTGGAGAACACAGTAAGAACACCCCAGTTAGTTCAAATAAAATAAAGGTCAACAAGATAAAAAGGCATTATCCTCTGATGTTCATAGTGCTGAAATAAAGACACTAATATATGCTGTAGAATTGCCCAAGTAAGGCACATGTGGAAAGAAGTGGAACCCCTCCATTTTCAAATCCCTGGTTTTCTATCCGACATCGTATGAGTTTTCAGATATTCTTAGCACCACCTTGAACACTCTTCATAAGACTCTGCTCCTCTCTCAATGCATTTCATTTAGCTTCCTTTAGTTCAGCAATGCTCCCAGCCTCATACACCAATTTGTGAGATATTCAAACAAACATGCTTACAGGCCTCCCTTTCCTGCAGCTCTTGCATTCAACCTCAGCCTGCTCATATTAAAGTCCCTCAAATACTCAGTTCTACACAGGGCTGGACACAGGCATGAGAGCACCAGGTGGCCACCCAGGGCCCAGATAGAAAGGGGGCCCGAAAATGGTAATTTTTATTATCATCATCATCTCTGGCAAAGGGGGGTCTGATACTAAAAGTTCGCCCAGGGACACCAAGAGCCTAGGTACAGTGCTGTCTACACAGAGCACATTTAATACTGAAAATAAAGAATAATATCCAGAAAGCCTCTCTGAAAGAACAGGGGGTGGAAATTATGGAACTCTGTAATTGTGGAAGACTAGAGGCACCTTCAACCACACATTAAAAACCTGAGAAGGTGCTGAAGGGGAGAAATCCTGGAAAAAAATAAATTTAATCCACCAGAAAAACAAAAGCATGTTAAGGAAACACCATGCAGCACTCACAGGCCTTCCCAGAAACAAAACATATCATTTAAAATGATGACGCTTCTCATCTATCTTGTCCAACTGCCTTGTTATCATGCTATCATATCACGCACATCAAGGCCAATGAGCACTGAAAGGTCTCAAAATACATCAGGGAGGTAGTAACGTTTTAAGTTGCAAGCTCTGGTTACACAGCACAAGTGAAAAAGCAGAACAGGCTGCAGGCCAGAAAAGTCTAGTCTTCCCATCAGGAGTACAGGCTCTGGCAAAGTTACACAGATAAAGAAGCACATTCATCACCACAGTGGCACTGGATCAAACTCTTTAATCCAGAGAAGCTGGACAAGAATACTGTGTCTTTTCAATTAACCACCCACTACAGAAGCCCTCAGGGTTTTCTCTGCCGTGAAACTGTCATATCACATTTGTTTAGAAACTCAGATTTTCTTGCATGATTTCTATCTTTCTAACTTCCCCCTATCCCTGCCCCAATGTGCAGTGTTTGAGAAGTGCTGAAGATGGCTGGCCCAGAACAGAACTTCTACCCTTGAGTTATTTCTTATATTAATGATGCTACAATTTCAGCAACTTTTTTCTGTTTGGAAGAGTATACAAACAGAGAAACCTGTGTAAAGAGAAGCACTGATCCACTGTGTAGCCAGTTTTCTAACGAGAACTAAAACTACTGTGGGTTGTAATATTTTTCACATTAATGATGACTGATGGTCATTCCCAACTATACAAATGCCCTAATACAGGTGCCTAAAAATATTTGCTTGTGGCTTTCCTCCTTTTTAAAATCAGGGGATTTGTGATGAAGATCATGTGTGAAACCACATAGCGAGTACTTGATTTAACGCTAGCAATTGCTTTAAACGCTATTTTTTAAACATTTTATCTTTCTACTAGATTGCATGTGGCTCCTGGAAAAAAAGAAAAAAAAACAGAAAACAATTGGATGAGAAGACTCTGCTAGTTATAGAGTCAAAGGGGACAACTGCTTTAATACATAGCAGGGATAGGGACATCTAATCCATCCTATGTAGAACTAAACCATCCTTTTTGAAGAATCTAAATGCTTTTTGAAAGGAAAAGGAGGAGTGTCCTGAAGTGTAATTTAATAAGTTCAAAGAGGCACATATGTCTGGAGGTCAGAAAATCATTGGAAAATCACGGTTAAGACAAGGCTGTAACAATCAGTTTTATACTCAAAAGGAGTTATCTTCTGAAAGAAAGGGGCGGAGGGCAGGAAGACCACCTTTTGTTAAATCTGCATCTTTATTTTAACAGTGTACAATGATTTACAACCAGGAGCTAATATTTCATTTTCAATAGCTATTATTCTATTAAATTCAAATACAGATCCACCTATGTGCTTCATCATATTGTCGCAAATTCTCACTTCCTCAGGTTCAATATTTCATTAAAAAAATTCCAGTCTAATGGTGCAATGAGTCATTTCCTGAAGGAAGTCAGTATTGTAAGAATTCACTGGGTACGATACATTTAAAAATACTTAATTCACAAAAAGCATCCAGCTAAATGTTCTAACCAAAATCAATTCATCACACTAATAAACTTACTGAGATGTGAGGAATTCATCTCTGGATTGCCAAGAGAAAGAAGTTCCTACTTAATTCTCTTAATAAAGGGTTGTACTTTAAGTAACAAGCATTTCTTTTAGAGTAAATCAAACAAATTTATTGGGCATTAGCTTAGGGAACGCCCCAAAAACCTACTTCCTACATTAACTCTAGACCAATAATTGACAAGATAACAACAGCATCCCACTCTGACTGATATTTTTCCAGTTTCAATCCTTTCCCTCGTCCTCCTAAAAATGACCGTTCTTCCTCTCCCTTTATTTCTTCTTCCCCTCCGGTCACATGCATCTTTCTCCTTTTACCTCTCTGTCTTGCCTTTGTCCTTCTTCTTTTATGTCCAAGACTTGCAGTGGAAATTAAAAACAAGCAAACAAATTATGTTCCTAGAAAAAAGTGCCTCATCTAGAAAACTAGATACAGAATAGAATGGATTCAGACCATCTGATTCAGTTATTGTAAATCTGTAGTTAGATCTGTAGGTAAAATGACTTAGAAAGTTCAGCTCTACTCACTTTTACTCACACTGCCAGCACTGCTGCAGGTCAGGAGAGCATGACAGCAAAAAGATAGTTTGTTTATAATCAATGCCCCAGGATTTCTAAAGCACGTAATTTAACTTGCTGAAGCCATCTTGGCATAGATCTCACTACCATATGCATTCTGAATGAATGCATGAAGAAAACTTGATTCCTAGCACCAAGTAATTATTTCTTCTGAGCACTAGTTTACCACTTAAGCAAAGGAGTATTATATGAATAAATGTTAAAGATATCAAGCATCCTACCACAAATACTGATTGGAATGTCATAAATAACTGTAACTTCTAAATAAACCTTTTAGGAAAAGTCCATTTTATCAGCACATTACATTTTTATATATTATTACAAACAATATATAGTTATAAGGGTGTGTATGTATATATTAATTAAGTAAAGTTATTTCAGTGGCCTCTTTCTTACCAGCAGTGGCTGAGAGAAAAGTTCAAGTTGAGCTCTGTAAATTATATCATCCAATACCTCCTGGCCAAGATCCCACTGTCCATTATATCTAAAAAACAAAAATAGAACAAGGGACTTCTATCGTTCAGTACTTTCCAAACCCTTCTCCTTTTTATCTACACAGAATATACATTAACATCATATTCTTCTCATCCTGCTCTCCTATCTCATTTCTCTTAGTATAAAACAATAAGCAGAGGACCTGTTATTAGCCTCAAAATTATACCTAACTATTCTCTCCCATTTTTGAGCCATTCAGACATTATCATAATTAGTCTCACAATCAAGAAAATGAGATCAATATTTAAGAGGTTAATTTTAATTTGCTAGGATTGGATTTCAATCAGAAATGGCTAAATGCCAAACTCAGTAATTGCAAGTCATGCTGTTGTTCAAGAGAACTTAGTTATCTTAGAGTTTGAAGTTATTACACTGGCAGAAAGAAGATATGCTGTAGAAGTGACATCTCTGAGGAAGATGAAACCAAAAGAACCACTCTTCAGCACTCAATGCTGGTGACTAATAGTCTTACAGATGACAAAGGTATTCCCCCAAAATGTCTGCTGACAAACAGAACAAATCAAATGCAAGGAGAGGCTTAGTTTGTGCTTTTATGCATAACAGAGGGAAAACCAAGTATTTTAATAAAGTAGAAATCAGTCTTCTCTTCCACTTTCAAGCCCCACCTACTTACATGGCATAATAGACACCTGTAAGCAGCTGCACCATGAATTCAGGATCTAGTACCACTCTGCCACAATGTTCTTTCCACCGTTTTTCATGTTGCCTTGGAAATCCGCTCACACAAAGCCTGGCAAAATGTAACAAAAAAAAAAAAATCAAAACTGAGTCTTCAAATGAGAAGGGCTCACATAAACCTTAATTATGTAGAAAGCAAAAAAAAATACCCCCCAAACCCCTACTAAACGTTCCTTCTTGTTTATTCTTGTGTCAACTCTTCAGATTATAAAAACAGCACCCCCAAGCACAGGCCTGAAACTCTGCCCATAGCTGCAACACAATCGTCTCCACGCAGCCAGTACTCACAACGGTTTGCATGAAATCACCAACTGGTGTGAGAGTCTTAGGGCCCTCAGGACTCTGGCAGGGAGCAGGACAGTTCCACAGCCACAGGCAGCTCCCTGCCACTGCACGCACTCCCGGAGGAGACAGGAGGATCCACGCTCCGCAAATCTGTGCACAGGGCAGGGGCAGGCTTCCTGCTGCAGGCTCAGATTCCCTGCCCTGCAGCCCAGTGGGCAGGACCCAGCATGGCAGGGCAGAATGGGCCCAGGTGGGGAAGCTCTTTGCCACTGTAAGCCCTGCATCGCCCTGGCAAGGCATCTTCTGCCCACCTAGCAGCAGCAAGGGCAGTGGCTCAGGGTTGTGCCCCTTGCTGCTGTGGTTCAGGCAGGATTGCATCACCAGGGCAATGCAGAGCTCACAGCAGCCAGGAGCTTCCCCGTCTAGCCCCACTCTGCCCTGTACAGCAGTGGTCTCCAAACTTTTTTTGATCGCGTGCCCCTATCAGTAAAAAAATTTTTGAGCACACCCCCCCAGTATATGTATATTTATATAAATATACATATAAATAGAAGTTCTAATATTTTTTTCCCACACCCCAATGGATTGTCTTGCGCACCCCCTGGGGTGCACGCACCCCACTTTGGAGACCACTGCTGTAGAGGACCCAGAGGAGGGCAGCAGGGCAGCCCATACATGTCCCGCACACAGATTTGGGTGGAACGGGTCCCTCCTTGGCCCCTCCAGGAGTGTACACAGCAGCGGCGAGCTAGCCCCTGCCCAAGCCCGCACCCAAACTCCCCACGGGCTCTGCTCCAGCTGTGTTGCCTGCCATTGGGGATAGAGCTGGGCTCTGTGCTCTGCTATGCTGCAATAGCTGCCACCTCCTGAGGGTGGCAGCCAGGGCTCAGATGCTGCTGTGGGGGGTAGGTGGCTACGGACCCAAGTCCCTGGCCCCAAAGCACTGGCAGCTAGGGGCCCCCTCCGGCACAGCCAGGGACCAGAAGGGCCAGGGGGCAGGGGGAAGTGAGGGGTACCAGCCGAGCTGGAGGGCTGTGGTTTGGAAGTGAGGGGCCTGACCTACATCCTGTGAGCTGACAAAGCAGGGGGGAGCTCCGATTTTCCATGATAAAAAGCCCAAAATCAAATACCAGAATTTACAGGCATTTCAAATTTATGTTATTATTGTAACTGAGGCACTAGCAAGCTTCTAAATTGCTTTAAAATTGTAAGTATATCAATACACAATTGTGTTCAATTCATCCATACATCCCTCCATATATAGTGCCATTTCATTTTAATTGCAGATTTGGGGGTGGTGTTATTCAAAGAATTTGTAATTTTCTACCAGCAAAAACCAGGATCCCTGGTGATATGTAATAATAGAATATTAATAGGTGAACGTTTAATTAAAAAATAAACCAGGGGAAGAATAATAACGCTTTCAATTGTCTTTTTATTGCCAACTTCTTGGAGCAGGGACTTAATTTTCCCCACATACTGCACAACAGTAAGCACACTGTACCATTCAGTCACTTGTTTACAATTTTGAAATCTAAATTCTAGATAGCATGGAAGCTGCTTCACAGCCACTAATGCATATTTACTTTTATACTCATAGTCAGTACTTCTTAGGCAAACGATTAATGTAATAAGCATTAGCCCTTAGAAGCAGTAGACACAGCGGAGCCTAGAATTTGATAATGAACATACCAACTCTTTTTTTATATATCATTTATTCAAGAGTCCAAATTTTACAGCAAGTTTTTAAAAAAATGTAAAAAGGGATGTGGAAAGAACAGGAGTTTTAGGCAGAACTAAGAAAAGGATTATGTTAACTTGACCTAATCCAAACAAGAAGCATGTGATGATATTGACCAGTATCTGTCAACCTCAACAAACTCAAGGAACCCCACTGGACTTAAGGCATGCCTCAGAAAACACCAGCTTTAAGTTTTCACTTTTTTGCCATTACAAAAAAATAATAGAGCAATTCTTCTGTTGCACAGAACTCAGAAAAAACACACAAAAAGTCAAAATATTTTTGAGATCCTATTTGAAATCTGTGTTTATCTTGTGAATCATGCATAGGTATTTGCATGCCTAGCTACTAATGTTAAGTGGCACCCTTAAAAGAACTTCATGGCACTCCAAGGTGCCACAGCACTCTGGCTGAGTCACTAATATATACAATCCTATAGAAGATTGAGTGCACCAGTTAGTTATCTACAAAAATAATCCCTTTAGCAGAACATCATGCCCCTTCCAGGAAATATGACAAATAGCAACCACTTGCCAAAAAATGATCACATGCATGACTTTTCTTAGTCTTTTAAAGAAATGAGGGAATTAATTTAACTAAGAACATCTTCATTAAGAAACACCTCTCACAAAAATCTAAAAGCATTTAATATCTAGTTTGCTAAATCTAATCCAAACACATGCCAAAAACCTTTCATTATTTGATGTGTGCTTATTGGCTTCTGTGAAGTAAGTTAGACACTGAAACAGGACAAAAATGGTAAACACAGCTAGAACTATTAGCAACCTAGTCTTGATTGAAAGCAAGCACCAAATGCCCAAATCTAACTATCCTCGTCATGTGCAAGTGCCATACCAGATTAGGAGTGACACATTTGAGGCAAGAACCATAAGGTTCTATATAATTAGTCTATGAAGAACAATGACATTTTGATTTCCAGATTTACTGATCCAGCATCTTTTCCAAAGGAAAAAGGAAACTATGCAAGAAAATGCATCACTACTCAGTACACTGAATGAGATAGATGGAATAAAAAGGTTTAGAAATGGTTCTCAGAAGTTCTTTAACGAGATCTACATAAGAACACACACAAGCATATTTATACTTGACATCATACCTTGTGCTTAGATAC